TCTTCTTCCCCTTCTCTCTCTAACACTTTCCTTCTTCATCTATGGATAAGAACCACGGTTTGTTCTCCAAATCACATTCTCGTCGATCACGATCCAAAAGCCCAGTGAGAGGCGTTTCTCCGATCATTATCCGGCGCCGGAAAGGTCGTTACGTCTCTCAACCTGACAGACACATGTCTGAGATGCTTCCTCCGGTTATAGAAGGTCCTGATCCAGACGGTGATGACTCCGGAAACGGTGGCGATTACTCGAGGTTCGAGCGACGGTGGTATAATTGGATGAAATGTCAGCTTCCGGTTGCTCCGCCGTCTGTTTCATCATCGTCTTCCGACTTCAAACGAACGGATCTGAGGCTTTTGCTTGGTGTTCTAGGCGCACCGTTAGGTCCTGTGCACGTTAGTGCTCTGGATCTCCTTCCTCATCTCAGCATCAAGAATACTCCTATGGTGAGCTCTCTCACTCTTAATCAAGCTGATTTTGGATTGATTCAAGTCAAATTTCACGGGAATTTGAATTTTTCTCTAACGATTTAAGCTCTTGTGTGCTTGGATTTGGAATTGAATTTTGTGTTTGAGATTATTCATGTGAAAACTATCATCAATCTCTTACCGATGCATGAATTTCAGGAGACTTCCTCTGCGCAGTACATACTACAGCAGTATACGGCAGCATCAGGCGGTCAAAAGCTTCATAGTTCAGTGCAAAATGGATATGTGATGGGAAGAATCAGGACAATGGCTTCAGAGTTTGAGACAGGCACAAAAGGTTCAAAGAGCAAGAATAATTCGTCGAAAGCTGTCGAGTCTGGAGGTTTTGTCTTGTGGCATATGAATCCTGACATGTGGTACATGGAGCTTGTTCTTGGTGGGAGTAAGGTCCTTGCAGGTTGTGACGGGAAGCTTGTGTGGAGGCATACACCATGGCTTGGGCCTCATGCTGCAAAAGGTCCGGTTAGACCATTACGACGCGCTCTTCAGGTCAGGTCTCTGCTTCCTAGGAAGCCATCTCATAGATTTTTTCACTGCTTGCATTATTAAATTGCTTGATGTATCCTTTCAGGGGCTTGACCCGAGAACCACAGCGAATATGTTTGCAAATGCAAGGTGCATAGGTGAAAAAAAGATTGATGGAGAAGACTGTTTCATCCTCAAGCTATGCGCAGACCCAGCAACACTCAAAGCTAGAAGTGAAGGGGCATCAGAGACCATAAGACATACTTTGTTCGGTTACTTCAGCCAAAAAACCGGTCTTCTTGTTCACTTAGAAGATTCCCAGTTAACCCGGATCCAAAACAATGGAGGTGAGGCGGTTTACTGGGAGACGACCATCAATTCATACTTAGAGGACTACAAACCAGTAGAAGGTATCGTTATAGCCCACTCTGGTCGGTCCATGGCTACACTTTTAAGGTTTGGAGATATGTCGTCGGGTCATAACACTAGGACCACTATGCAAGAAGCATGGGTAATCGACGAAATCGCGTTCAATGTCCCTGGCTTGTCTATGGATTGTTTCATTCCACCTTCTGAACTCAGATTCGATTCCCACGTTGAAGACTTATCTCAAGGCCCCAAAATTAAGACGTTGCATGGTTCAGTAGCGAACCGCCAGAAAAATGGCTGAAAGTTAGGAACCAGGTTTCAGTGAAGTTAGGCGCGCAACGCAAGAGATCAATGTGTGTATAACTCATTCAAACAAAATCCTAGATCGGTTCTTCTGCTTCTAGCTATTGTTGAAGCTAAAAATTCTTGTAGGAAGTTTCGTTGAAAGATGTAAATAGAGCGCAGGGTAAATTCGTGCACAACGTTAGAGAATATGTGTATAGTCTCTACTCGAGGGCTATTTTCATTGTCAACTTAGTAAGTCAATGCAATTTTATTCGTAACAAAAAGTGTTCTTAAATGTCTTTAGTTTGAGTCTCGATGCTAGAGAATTGACTAAGTATTAACATGTTCTTGGCTCATCAATGTAGTGGGTGGGGATTAAGGAGGTGTTAACTGGTTCCGTTACCATACATATAGTATGTTTGATTTACGGACAGTTGTGAATCTTGTGATTTGTTGGTGTTTGAAAACATTCACACAGAATACTAACTAAAAACAGAACATGAATTTTGAGATCTCAAAAAACAGAGCAAGTGATTTCACTTTTCGAGCAGAGGCCGTCGAGCTATGACCTTATGAACCGTAGATGCATTCCCATTATTTGCCAAACCGGATGCCAAATCGTTATCCAAATTCTCGATACTAATGGAACTGAAAACCTCTTTTTGTCACAGTACACATCAGCACATGGTTAAGGTTAACCACGATTGTGGAGTTTGATTAGGGGCAAAAAAAAGAAACTCATGTACATTTGTTTGAAGAAAGTGTCCTGTCAAGAAGTGCTTTGTTTGGCTATTATTTTACTATAAAGTGCCAGTAAATGTTCCTAACTATATTCTCCTAAATTTTTTATACCCGCACATTATTCACCGACAAACTATCTAAGTAAGTAAACATTCAAGGAGAGTCTTTGCTATCTTTTCCACACTTTCTAGCAGAGAGAATGTCTTTGCTTTCTTTTAGCTGATGAACTGATTAATACGTAATCTTCTTTGGTGCTAAGAATGTATGTATCTGCTAGACTAAAGCTTTTAAAAACTAAAAAAATGATCCCATACAGTGACACTCTTTGCAGATGCTAATTAGTTCTCATTACTGTCTACAATACCGAATATGAAGTACAGTGGAAGTTTTCTCAGAATATTCTGGTTTCTTGGGGAATATACCACTGTCCATTGCAAACAACAACTACACAATTAAACTCACTTTTTCTTTTATGCAAACAAGCAAAGATTAATAGCAGTATCATATGCCAACAAAAATTATGGTTTGTTTCTTACCCTTTTAGACCACCAATGACAACGGAGCCCAAAGTTTTGAGCCTCTCCTGCATTATACCAAACAAAACATTCGTCATCAAAGTTATACCGCAACAAGTGTTTGACATGATCATGGTGGCAAATCTACTCACCGATAACTTCTCAAGTGTAAATCTAGATTCAAGAGGATATGGACTTGGCGTTTGAAAACTTCTTTCTTGCTTCATCCGATTCTTCAACCTAGAAATCTAGTTAGTTAGAAGATGACTGTAACTGGATGCTATCTCTGTTTCCAAGTTTCACTAAAACACATGGCTTACTAGAACTTTCGATAAGCTCAATGACTTCTTTGGTGGTGGAACATGGCTAAGCACTAGTGTACAACCACCGGCGCCTTGCAAGTGGTCATTAATTGTACTCAAACTGAGGGGCAAAGGATGAACCAGCTAATGCTTGGATTCCGCTGTTATTAGTTGCAGGAAGAATTGGCGCCGATTCTTGCTCATATAGGTTTCTTTTTGCTACGTATTACCCGAAAGAGAAAGAAGAAAAGAATCTTGCATTTTAATCTGAATAAAAGGGAAAAACAAAAAAAAAACCAACAAGAGACTTACATTAGTAGTAAGCTTCCGTGCACGAAGACCACCAGTTGTTCCCGTCCTTTTTCCACAGATAGGTTTCGTAAACGTACTGGGAACAACTGAATAAGAAGCTTTAGGCGAAGAAGTAGCTTCATGTATCGGTAACTCTTCCTTGGCAGCATTAGATGCTTCTGTAGTAGTTTCTTCCGCCATGTCTTGAGCAACTTCCTTAGCAAGAATCTGCCTATACGAATCAGCAGCTGTTGAAGTGTACTTGGCCTCAATATTGCCACCGTTGGTCCATCCATATTGCTTGAAGAACCCCTGAGCGCGGTTATTGCCCCCAAGCATCATCGTTTTCAGCTCCTCACCGCTCCATGAGCCTACAATTGTTGACCTATACAAAAACGAATAGGTTGTTTCTTGATAATCTATTTGGCAACAAGACCACGAACAAGTTGGAAAACCTTATGTAGTCAATAGATCTTTGATTTGATAAATCGGTCTAGTTTCAAGAAACTGGTGGAATTGAAGTCCCAATTCTGAAACCATGCCCATCTTAGAGCATCTCCATTTTGGCCCCATTAAAAAATAAATCAAATTTAAATAAATATAGTTTTTTAATCAAATTTGTCTAGATACCCATTTGAGACACGCATGAGAGACTCAGTCAGTCTCTCCTCAAAACATTTGCACTTGACATATTCGCATTTGCAATGATATAATTAGGACAACACGTAATGCTACACTTTCAGATCCTAAACCTACGATGATCTCTAAACGCTCAAAGGTGTAAGCAAGAATAAGCCAAGTGTCGAATCAGATGCTGAATTGGAATTAAATTGTGTTCCTTCCCCAAGTTTACCTCACGAAGCTGATATGAACACCGAGATTTCGATGAGCAGATGAACGATCCATGCAGAGAAAAATACCGTATGTAATCGATGCCCATGTCGGATCCTTGGAACCACAATCGAAACAGACCTAAAAATCCAAGACACGCAAAACCAAACCTCAGCATAAACGAACTGCTGAGAGGAGAATCATTGATAGAGTTCTCGAACCTTGTTGTCGGTCTTTGCTATAAGTTGTCGGAGAAGAATAGCTTTGTTGGTAAGACTGTGAGAAGCCATCGAAAGAATTTACGGGACAAGAAAAACAAAATCAGAAGAGGTCAGGCACCTCGTCGAACAAAACCTTAAGGAATTGACATTGCATACTGATAAACGTTTTTTAAACTCGTAAATTCAAATCAAAAACCAAACCGAACTACAATAAGTTTTGCAGGTTTCAAGTTTTTATAGTAAAATCGAATACCAAACAAAAGAAAATTGTAAACCGGATTTTCCACCTCTAAATAAACGTTTTGTCAAATTTAAATCTAAACTATTGTTTTGTAAAATATCAGATATATATTTACGAACATTCAGTTTAAAACCCTAATTATGAAAAACGTGAGAATGGCACATGAGGAGAAGCTCCCATGGGAGATGATCGAAGAGATACTCTCTCGTGTCCCTCCAAAATCTCTTGTTTGCTTCAGAACCGTTTCCAAAAAATGGATCGCTCTCTTCGACGACAAGACGTTTCTCAAAAACCACAAGTCCACGTTCCGATTCGTCTTGACGACCAAATCCAAGTTTTATTCGGTGAGCATCGATCCCGAGATAGTGTTTCGTGAGTTAACGTTAGATATTCCCGGTTTAGAATCTCAAATACCTCAAAAGTTAGTTGATTGCGATGAGTTTTTGCTATGTCAAATATATACAGGAGCTCTGGTTTGGAAGGATCAAAATCTTATAAAATCTTTTCTTTTAATACCAATTCACAACACCAAAAAAACCTCATAAAACTTTATAACCTTTAATGAAAAAAGAAAATACCAAAAACTCAATCCCTATATAATTTGAATTAAAAAAACGAAAAAAAAATAAATAAAGGAAAATTAAGAAAAAACATAAAAAAATATGGACCAATCACATCATGTCTTCTTCCTCTTCTTTGTCGTAGCTTTCACCAAACACCATTGAAGCAAATTGAAGCACTTAGTTGAAGTTAAAGCTGAACTAACATGCGTTTTTAGCTTAATTCGAACTAATTGTTAGTTTATTAGTCAAATTTCCTTGTTTGAAGCAAGGATTCGAGAAATCATAATTTAGGTTTTAATTAGATTTGGACAATTACTTATCTCGTATGCACATTGCGATGGATGGATGGTATATGGGTCGATTAAAACTGTATTGGTAATTAATGTAACATCCCACAATGGTTGGATCGTAGTGAATCGTAGATGATTAGTAGATATCTGGGTACTACTGTGTACTACTGGTTAATGTATTGGTACAACTAAGAAGTTTTTAGTATTTCATTTGTTTACTATTTTAATTTGCGTGTCAACAAAATTGTATACCTTGTCAACAACAAATAGTAATTTAGTAGACGAATGAATATTTTTTAAAAAAAAATTGATTTATGGTTTTGGCAACAAAAATATTTTACTAGAAAAATATATGTTTCAAATCATATAATAAGTTGTATTTATTATTAAAAATCATAAATATTTATTTTTTTGTTTAGAAATTTCTTCGTAAAAGCATAATATCAGTTATTTTACTTCTCTATAATTGATATTTTAAAAATATTTGATTTATGCAATTTTATATTTTGAATCTTCCATCAATCACCTTATACTTTTAATAGAGGTTTCATAATGTTATACACCTTCGTATGCAAAAATTGATAGGAAATGTGGTCTTCCACATATTTTGACATAGAAACATAAGAAATATATTTCTAATTCCAAAAATCACATGTACAACTGAAAATTTATTTTTCATAATAAGGTAAAACTAAAAAAATAACGAAACCCCTACAACTATTAACAAACATACACAACTAAAAAACTGGGCATAATTATGTGCTATATAATGGGCACATGTCTTAATTATGTGGCAGATAAAAGTGCACATGTGTTAAATATGTCCAGAAAACTACGCCAAGTGTCCTAATTTGATTGGGGTTGGCCCAATTTTATTATCTTTTTATTATTTTGAAATTGATTTTTTTTAATTCAAATAATTTATTTTTGTCAATTTATGCTTAATTGATTTTATTAGTTCAGTTGTACCTAATAGTTCTAGTTTTACATGTATTCTCAGTTGTATCGGATTGTTCTAGTTCGAGTTTTAGATTCATGGAATTTTGATTATGATGTCTCGCCGTTTTCCTTCTATAATGACATGAAATCAAATCGAAGAAGCAAGAGAACAATTCAAATTAGATAATCCAATAGAAATTAGATCATCACATAGTAAAATGGACCATTGAGATCGACTACGAATTCTTTTATGGTGAGGCCTAAAATCGACGAAGAGATCGACTAAGAACGGCTTTCCTACGCTTCTTCTCTTCGTTAATGGAAGTTCTCAGCCTTACACTGGTGGATCTTCCACGTAAGTACTTATCACCAATTTAGGCTTCTTCATTGTCAGTTTCGATTTCTGAGAATAAGTGAAACAGCCCGACCCGTTTTTTTTATTAACATTGGATTCGAATTAGTATTCCCATAAATGCTAACTCTCAATAATCCAATCAAACCATCACATCAAACCAGCAGAAACAATCAACTAACCAATAAATAACAACCAATTCAATAACCAACCAAAATCCAGTTATCAATTCCAAAACACAACTCAATATCTAGCCAGTTCAACAATAATAATTCAATCTCAATTCCAGAATCACTATCATCCTAGCAATTCTAACCACACGAACCACG